ACAGAGGCTAGGGACCTATAAAAATAATTCAACTATAACCCTTATTTTTAATGCCTACCACAGTAAAGGATTTGTCATACAGTCCTAGATTTTGTGTGAGCGGTGTGACCATTACAGAATAACATGTGTCCGGTAAATTGACTCTTGTTAAAACGGATCTTTACTTTATAATATTAACTGCAGTACACTTTTTGAAATTGAACCATGGCATCTATGTGTTCACTACATAAAGACAACTAAGAAAAAACATCTTTCCCTTACTGGCTTTTTGACCGACGGCCATCAGCTAAGAAGGTGATTTAATTTGAATATTTTTAGTTCTACATTCGGGCGTATCCCTAAAGTGTGAGGCCGCTAAGCGGTCTGGTGGCCTCTGACCCTCTACCCGCTCCGCACCGACGCTGACTATGGTATCTCGATGGTAACAACAATTAGCACGCGTGTCGCCGCATAAAAACACACCCTTCAGCTAACCAAAAAAGCAGTCGTCACACAGACGGTGAAGGTACGAGGATCGATGTCACACATTGCAGTAGTCATAGTTGAACAGGCCAATTTGGTCTGGCGATGCGACCCAACTCTGTGGTATCTCGCACAACTACCTACTATTCTAACCAAATAGCCCAGGGACAGTAACAATAGTAATAAACATGTTTTTAAAAAACTTAACGATTCATGTTACGATGACCATTTACACAAAAATTCGCGCCGCGGGTCGCTTGCACAAACAAACTTTACTATCGCTAGCATAGAAGCAAATAAGCCACGTGTCCCTTAGGTGGAGCTTAATCTGTTTTTTAAAGGGTTCCCTTAGCTTAAAGAAAAGGTTTAAGAAACAAGACGATAACAAAAACACAATATTGAAATCAACAAAAGAGTCTGACTGTAAAATTCCGTTTTTTGGCATAATTATTATTATTCTTTTTTTTTTTTTTGTCTATGTCATTTGGTTAAATTGTAGGTTTTCCTTGTGAATCATGACGTCGAATAGTCCGCCGTAAGCTAGAATTCTATTGTTAGAAAACAAACAGTTTCAGTACCAGTAGTATAAACATATAATAACAATAATAGACCCGTCCTCATCTATTTATAGCTTGATAAAAGTAACTGACTTAATGGAATGTTTAATCGATTTCTGCAAAGAATAGGCTCAGTATGCACGTTACCACTGCTGACCTCTTCGACGAATATAAATGACCGTTGATGGTCAGTACCTGATATATATGTATCAGCGCTGGTGGTATATCTGAGACGGGCGATGAAAGCAGTTTTCAATGAATACAAATCTACTAGATGTCGGTTGACGGCCGCCTGGATCGACGTACGTCTCAAGAAAGAGTCTTTTAGCTTCACAAAGCCCCTCTTCGGCTGGAGGTTGAATCGGTGCACGCTCGCCTCTTAAGCGTGCCCCAAAGCCCGGCTTGTTCTAACGAGAACCCTAGGACAGATTCAACATGTTAACCTCGGCTAAAAACTATGATCAAATACCGAAGTTAACATGTTAACTTTGCTCCCGAGTTGTCATTAGGATGAACCGGCTGGGCCATCTTGAACCTCTTGCGCCGCTGAGACGTCCGCTGAAGCCCGACTCGAACCCCAAAAAAAGTCATAAGTATACGGACTAAAACCCTACAGAGCTGTAATAAATATCTCTTGACCAATTTCTATTATAACGAGTCTCTTAATTTTGCTTGCTGTTTTTATCTCTACTGGAAATATATGCGAGTGGCGGCGGCAGGCCCCTGTACGCAAGTGCTATCCAGAGACTGTGTCTTTATTATTAACCCTACTTTTTGTAGTTAGTTCTAATACGTTATTAGGAAGGCAAGCGGGAGATCAGCAACAACAACATCGACAACAACAACGACAACAAAAGGCTTGACACGCGATCCTCGTCTTCGCCAACAATAGCGGAAACAATAATGAGAAGAAGCACAAAAACGAAAAGCAACGTTTAGCGTCAATTTCTCTGAACAGGGAACATTTACGAACTTTCATATATTATAAAAATATGGAGGCGCTATCTTTAGGCTACTTGAAGACTTTCTATCTTATTCTCTCAGCAGAGGCATCGTTAGCGCCGCTTAGATAGCAAAATCGGTTACTTCAATCTCCCTGTTCTGTATTCAAACAGAAGATAACTACAGATTTAGCTTAAGTAGATGGCGGCTACGGTGGCTGCAGTGTGTGATCGCGTAAAAAGTATAAGAAATATTTGTTTTTGTTTTACCAGGTGAAACTTATGAAGCTTTGTTTAGTACTTACTAACAATAATAACAAAAATATACGGACGTTGCTATGACGAACACCAAGACGGAAGAGAACAAGGCTGGCTCTATGTATGGATATAGCAAGGCCGAAGGACCTGGGGTAAACTCGTGTTTTTCCTGCATTGTGCTTCCCATCGATCTAAAAAGGTTATTTTTAAAGTTTAGTTGTATTGTTATGAAGTATAGTTTGTAGTTACGGCTACAGTTTACATATCTACCATTGGTTAGCTAAGGAACTTATTTGCTTCAAGATAACAAAATTATTCAAGTGCCCACTTTGTCGCAGGTTCAAAGTTTTTGATGAAACGGTCGCAATAAAAGTGCCGAGGGGCAATTATACCTGTTTATTTTGTGCTCTTCTGGATAAGACCCATAACACTGCAGTGCGATTTTGATTTATATTTTGTATATACACATACTGTTTCGGTTAAAGATCGCTGCGGTTGATCTGTTGCACCTACTTCTAGCCAGTGGTCAGAAGCGTGTTGGGACTATTGGCAGTCAACAAGTTCTATAATGCAAATATGATTTGTTTTTCCACTTATTTTGAAGGAAAGGTGCCTGTTTCATCGTAAACATAAAATTTTGCTTACTGGCTAATCGCGGTGAGGAAACCCGTAAAAGATGACGCCTTAAAACGTTGGGATTACTAACCGTCACAATATTGTCGTTTAGTTGATATTGGTTGTAATTAGAATCGTTCTAATAGAATAACCACTTCCGATTTCCTGTTTTCAAAAAAATTAGTGTCATAGATAGGTAGAGAAGACAGTCGGAACCAGTATTTGACAAGCTAAAAAAAAAGGTCCCCTGATGGGCTATTGATACAGCCTAAAATGGCGCTCATCAATGCTATCGTTATAATGAGAATGTTCCGCGGGTCTAAATTTATACCACAATAACACACTGGTGTTTAGCCAGAATTATATTTACAGAAATATATTTATAGAAATCAAACAGTTACATCGATTCGTATAACAAATAAGCGATAATGCGTCAAACAAAGACAAACAATGTCGTACCGTGAGTACATGTAACGGATCGTACATTTGCGTAGTTGGGCGTTGCCCACGTGTGTAAGCCAAAAAACTGGTCTTTCGTTCTGTAGTTAACTGCATTCTGCTTTCTAATTTGTCCTATTCTACTCCGGTTTCGTACCAGGCACTACATTAATCTGACTGCGTTAAGACCCGGCGATAATTTTTGAGCTCTTTCAACCACGTCCGGGTGGCGTTTCTAGTTTTCAGTAATAGACAAAAATAATCTGGGTCATCCCGAGTAGATCGCTCATGTAAGATGCGTATAACTTCGCTATTACAATACCTGCGTTCCAATAGATTCAGGCAGTTTTCATTTCTAGTAATTTCATAATATGCTATAGCAGCGATAAAAGCAGGCTATTTTAGGTCTTTGCGGGTTTGTTATCTTGTACCAACACAAAACCCTTTAAACTACAGTCTACAGCAGACTGTAACGACGCCGAAACATCTTGAAATCCCTGTAGGCGTTGCGAATATACGTTATCCATATACGCGCGATTCCTTTCAACGCCATCGTCGCTTTCGTCTAAGCAGTGTTTTTTCTTATAAACTGACAGCGGTGTTACAACGATCAAGCACGTGCAGGAAATACAAGGCGAGAACTTGCTCGCTCCGTAGTTTACCTTGGAATATTGGGCTTAGACTGTGTCCCTCGTTGAACCCTTCGTGACTCGTTGTCGTTCGCTCATCATCGAAATGCATGTTGCACGACGTCCACAAGTAATTGCAGATTTGTGAACACATTCATGGAAGAGGACGGACGTTTACAGACAAACCGCATATAGCTTTTACTGAACGTTTCGAGCTTAAGTAAGGTATTGGTATTAAACGATGGTGTGACAAAGTGACGTGGCAATCTTTTTATATCCATAACATCGCGGCCATAATCTGTTATCCGTTCGTAGTGAGCGAAAAAAAGGGAGACATCGCGTGCAACGCTGTCTCAGCAGCTGCTTGATGCGAACACGATTTATCTACTTTTAACTACGTCTATAACAAACAAGGATTCTACTACAGTTGATGACAATAGACGTACAACATCTTAACGCTGATCATCGTAACGCTATGGATGGCTTGTTGTCGTCCCTGATTTAATTTAATAAGTTTATTAAGATGGCTTACTGTGCTATTTTTAACATACTCGATCCTATTATACTTCTGGCCTGCGTGCATTTATCAAAGTTAAACTTAAGGTAGTACATTCATTCGTTAGAAAACAGGGCATGACAAATCTATAGATGGATCAATCTGAAGATTACTACGGTGCAAAGATAACTTATCAATTAGAAATGATCTTTTGGGGACGATAGCTTGGTCTGCTCGATGCGTGATGGTTATTTATTAAGACATGCACAATAGAGTAGCGTCCCATATAGGTAGGTTCATCGGTGATCCTCCCATTACTTAGCTTTTTATTTAGATTTCATTAATTCGTTGTTTACTTTTATTTGTCTACTAATATCATTCGGCCACAGTCTCAACGGGGGTACATTTGAATGTTTATTTAGACGAAAGGTGAACGAGCCGAGCTGCAGGACGTCACCAATGTCACGTAACACAATGACGAACCGTGCGTCAGTATCTGTTAAATTTTTTAAACATTCAATTCATTGACGATGCTGTTTTGCATGTGGTTGGTCTGCAATTCGTCTGTTTTAGCTAGCTACTTGCTTGCCGTCGCTATGGTCGGTTGCAGCTGAACGAGGTAAATTGGCATACCTTTACGATGCGCAATATATGACTGGATAGAAGAAAACCGCGCTGCAATTGAATCGAACCGACGAAATCGTCTGAAAGTGTCGCCGTTGATCGTGCACACTTTCGAATCGACGCGGAACGGCCGATCGTTGCTATAATACGTATATCCATTTGAGGTAATAAGGCTGTGCATGCAGGCACGTTCAGTTTCTGGTACAGGGATACGGAGGGATGGGCAAGAACGTGCCTAAAATCAAACGGTTAATGTAGAACGATGTTGCGCTCATAGTCGTCACTGTATTACATTACAATGGCGTCTACCTTTGACATCGACCTCAATCGTGTAGCGCTGCTTAACGCGAAAAGCAGGTGGACGAATCACACAGCCTAAATTCGCGGTGACGGTAAATATGTAACGGTGGAATCAGCCAAAGCGTCGAACGGTCGAATTTAAATCATTTGATAGCATCTCAGGATTTACTTGATGCTCATTCGCTGTCTGAATTTCCGGCCAGCTGACCGATCCGATGTACGTGTCAATTTGCTATCTTCCGGCAGCAGTAGTTAGTTTCGGTAGTGTCCATTTAAGCTCGCTGATAATGTAGACCAAAATCAGCATTAACAACATTGGTAGCAATTATATATATATATATATATATTGTTCGGTAAGATTATGTAAACAACGTATGTCAATGGTCAATATGCTAATGAAGATCTATAGTTTGTCTATTTGTAGGTGAGTGTCTGGACGAAGTTACTGTTGCTACCTTCGGTTTCAGTGCTTTCACGCTTTTCGTCGTTGAAAGTATACGGCTAGGCAAATTGGTAAAACTAGGTTATTTACTCTACTATTTAGCCTGTATATTATCATAGTATCGAGAATAGGAAGTGACCAGTGGAGAGACTTTTATATATTTGTGTGTATTATACGTTCTTGCAAATCTCATTACAACCGCAAACGGTTTCTTCGTCATATTAGATACATACACCTTACTGAACGGCTGGGGTCTGTAAAATGGGCTGTTCGTCCACCATGTAGGTTATTTTTTCAACGCTAATTCGTGTATAATTACAGTCTGTAAAAGAAACATATAACCATAACCGATAAAAGGGCACATCTATGCGTGACAATGACAGGCGACTACATTTACTGCCCAAAAACGACGCTTGCCCACCGCCCCAGATACGCTCACCTAACAGCAACGACCATTCTTATTGTCGTTCGTGATTAATTCCTCATAACCGATTAGTCGAACAGTCCATTGCTGGGTGCTCCCCGTCTCACAGGTTCACCTGTACAAGAAATACACTTATCCTCTCACTGACGTTGACAAGTTCGAAAATCGATTTTTCTATTTTGAAGTATATCCGTCCGTCGCACTAAATATTCCTGAAGTGCGAAATTGAAGTATATTTAGAAGACACCTGCTAAATTATTTCTGAGGTAAAATACCTCGTGATCAATATAAGCTAATTTATCAAGTCTCAGAATGATCTTACTACTTATGGCTTAATTACTCTAGACAGGACAGCTTGAAAACATAGGACAATTATAACATTTCTATCTGAAAGCCTCGTGTTTGCATTTCTTCCTTGCCTGAGTTATTATTGCTATGCATCAAGATGAAATTATCTCCCATCCTATGAGCAATGACTAATTACAGACCTAGAAAGAATCATACGATTTAAATACGCAGGGTATGATCGCCATTAGGATCATCTTTTCATTATGCTTGTTGGATATTAAGACCCCTGAGGAAGATGATGTTCCTAGCTAATCTACAATGACGAGCATGTGATTGGGATAATAGTCCGCTATCCAAGTTTGTCCTTAGTAAGTTAACTACTTGTGTCTGCACCCAGCAATGTCACATAGTCAAAGGTCTGCTCTGTTTCCTTTTTCTTAGAATATCCCTTATATATCTTATAATATAGGATGTACAGAGATGCTATGTTGCTCGCCGGCCGCTTCTGGATCTTATCTGGTGTTCCTAGTAAAATTCAGGTAATCTTGACATAGCTAAAGTGGTCCAGATCTAAAAGGCCTGCACGGCCGTGGCATATATCATCGGGGTTACCTCCTTTGCTTTAAAATTCACGCCTAGGTCTGTCTTCTCGGTGCCTACAAAATAAAGAAAATACGAAGAACGTCCGTTCGGAAGAAGGTCTTCCCTCGTTCACTTGATGAACGCTAATCTCTTCGTCCATGCGATGATTTCCTTTTCGTGTAACTTTCGATGACCGATAACAACGCCTTCAGTGAAGCGTGTTGTTTGGGCTGAATCGTACCCGGCCATCATGTGTGCGCAACACATGTATATGTAATGTTTCTTTTAGTAATACAGGTTACTGGTAACGTTGATGATACCATAAATTCACTATTCATAAATAGTTATTTGTTTACGTCGA